TGCTCTGCTGTGAGAACTTCTTGTCGTATTACAAACAGGTGAGCGGTGGTAGTAGTAGTAGTAGTAGTAGTAGTAGTAGTAGTGGTAGTAGTAGTAGTAGTAGTAGTAGTAGTAGTAGTAGTAGTAGTAGTAGTAGTAGTAGTGGTAGTAGTAGTAGTAGTAGTAGTAGTAGTAGTAGTAGTAGTAGCAGTAGTAGTAGTAGTAGTAGCAGTAGTAGTAGTAGTAGTAGTAGTAGTAGTAGTAGTGTCATCGTTCAGGGTCATCCTGTATTGTCGTGTGCTATGCCGAGGAGGTTGGATACTCCTGCTGAGAAGGGCCTTATGGTGGTCTGTTGGAGTCGGCATAAGCTGAAGAACTTCTTCTTCTTCCTCATCCAATCCGAGTATGGAGATCTCTATAAGGTTACTCTTTCCCATAAGGAAGGAGTCGTATCGGAAATACAGTGCAGGTGGGCTATGATGGGTTCACCCCTGGGGGCCCTCAAGGGTCTCTTCTTGTAGTTACTTCGACTCGATCCCAGTTGCCATCTCGATCTGTGTGCTCAAGACCGGCTTCCTCTTTGCCGCTTCGGAGTTCGGCAATCACGCCCTTTATCAGTTCGCCAGCTTGGGCGATGTTACCCCGGCGTTGGTGACATCGTCTCATCCTAATAGGGAGAATGCGGTGGTGGCGTTCAAGCCGAGAACGTTGAAGAATTTGACGCCTTTCGATGAGCTCAGCAGTCTGGCCCCTATCACGGATATGAAGGTCATGGACTGCTTCAGCACGCAGACGCAAGTGCTGCAAGCTGACGGCAGTGGTATGCAGCAGACGGTGACCACTGGGATGTCCGTGGGGTGTCAAATTTACGCCCTGTCGGGTCGGGGGCCACGTTCAGCGTTGAGGATCCTGAGGCATGGTCTGACCCTCGGGGAGGCGGGGGCCTCAGAACTGCCTGGCCAGCCTAATGCACTGTTCACGATTAAACCCTTTGGGGCTAGCTATGCACCGGTGGCAGAGGGAGAGGTGGAGTCTGACCGCTACATCGTCGTGTCGTTCGTGGACCAGACGCTGACCTTATTGGTGACTTCTGATAACATTCATGAGGTTACTGACTCGGGGTTTGCTAAGGAGCAGCCGACCCTCTTCGCGATGAGGATGCAGGATAAGAGCGCTATCCAGGTGGGGCT